TAAACTTATGCGATTGATAAGTTAAAGCAATGTTTCTGCGTCTTACAGTTGTTTCGAAATCCTTTATTGTTAAGTTCTTAATGTGTTAGACGTCAAAGTTTACGCGAAACTGGTTATCTAGTTTGGGAGTTTGAATATACATAATTGCGTTTTATGGAAGTGAAAGGACATGACATGTGTTGCTTGCAAATTAAGAAGACTTGTAGCGGCTTTGGGACAAATAGGAGTCTTCCAGTGACTTGGCCCACTTTTAGCTTGGTCCACGGGCCAAGTCGCTTGATTGAATTTTTAAATATTTTTTCTTCCAATAACTGGGTCCACCTTCAATGTTTTTATCAATAAATTAAATACCAAATCAACAAAAATATACATCTTAATGGGCCCATTTGCTGAAAGAAAAACTATTTAAAAATTTTATCCAGCGACTTGGCCCGTAGACTAAGTTAGAAGTGGGCTAAATCACTGGAAGACTCCAAACAGGATGGACTTAAGAAGGTTCTATAAGCTGAAGTAATGTGAACCTAATAGAATGACAAAAGAATAAGTCACTGGTGTATATGTTACGGCTAAAGATAGGTGTGAACATAAACTTAAGATTAGCCGGCTAAACTTAAGGGAAGCTGTAAATTAACCACGGAATCAAATTAATGTGTCAATGGTGTTGAAGGCTTTTGAGTTAAGGTAGCTTACCAGACTCCCTAACTCGTATGGCCAAGCGAGGAGAGTGTTGGCCAAATCCTTTATCTATCTCTGGCCTAAATTAAAAAAAGTCATGCTCCTGCAGTTCAGTATTAATGACCTAATGATAATAATCTCGTCATCATAATTTTGGCACGTTTAGTGACACAAGGGCCACAACACGTTCGTCCCAGTGGGACAAAACACTGAATTCAAAAATTTTTTTTTCTTTCTGGATTCGTCTTATTAAGTTTTTTTTTTTCGCATTTTTTATTGACTTTCTGACAGTACTAAATCTCATAATGTTATAAGAATAAATTCAATGAGACGAACCGCAGCAGAACAAAAAGTAATATGTTTTTAAATTCAGTGTTTCGTCGTCCCATTGGGACGAACGTCGAACGTGTTGTGGGACGAAACACAAACGAGTCATCATTTTATAGCTTCACCTGGAACTTGAACCCAGAATTCATATCGAGGCGTTTAATCTTTAACCAATAAATAACACTTCTTAAAATCAATCACATAATCAGTTGCGGAGCTGGCAACAAATTGATGTAATACCCTTAGCCTTGTTTATCAAAGTTTTAATTGAAAATCAATGTAATCCACACTTCGTTGTCAACGTAACGGCTAATTGATTAACAAACATCCGTCTCGGGTTCGAGTCTCAGCTAGAATTTAATCTGAGATTGTTTATTATTGAGTAGGTTGAGAATGGCTGATTTATGCAGTCATTGATTAATTTATTGAAAGTTAATAGATAAAATAAATTACTGAAGGTTTTATCTGTTATTACCTTTATTTACTTACCTGCCATTCTTAGTGATAGTAGATAGTTTGTCTCCGAATTCCTCCTCCTTCGACTCTACCATATTCTTCTGATTAATTTCGTGTGGGCTCAATAAGATAAATTTTCTAGTTAGTTTTTTGGCGGTCAAGTAATATTTGTAATAAAATAAGAGAGATGCAGGTTATGGCGTGAGAGAGCTGATATTCCCTGCCCTTTTGTCCCTATGTCTGAGAGTCCTCCGCCTAGACATGAGCTCCCCTGGCCTACATGGAAATCTTTAAATAAACTTCAGACGCAGGTCGGCCGTAGTAAGGACAATCTGTTCAGGTGGGGATGCTTCGATGGCTCAAACTTGGAGTGCAAGTGTGGTTTTGTTCCCCAGTCGACGAAGCACTTAATGTCGAGCCCTGCGTGCCCAAAGAACTACACGCAGGAAGATTTAATGAAGGCTACTGACTACGCCACTCTTGTGGCGGAGTTTTGGGTTGACGCTGTGTAGGTTTGTTTTCCACACGACAAGAAGAAGAATAAAATAAAACAAAATTATCATAAACGCTTGACATTTTATTTGGAAACATTTACAAGAAACATCTTTTTAACAATAGTTCGAGTCCTATACTTGGTATAGGTTACCAGCAATTGACATAGCCTACGAATTACAATACAATGTACAGTACTTAGCACCGTTAACTAAATTAGACTAGATTTTTAATTCCGTTAATACATTAGTTTATTTACAATTTACATAAATACAAGTAGAAATTTACAAATGCCTAAGAATAAATAATGTCAAGAACAGAAAAGTTCAGATGTGACAGTGCGATTGAAAATTACCTAAAATGTGTAATGGAAATAAATTAGCCATTAATTTATTAATTAATCTGTAAAATATTCTCATTTTAAAGTCAATTCATAGCTAGGTTTCAAGATTTATTTTTAATTAATCAGTTTTACCTCATTTCTGCTACCTATCACATCTGACATTATTTAAACTTAGGCCAATAAGTTAGTAATGTTATACATTTTTGAGCGCCACATTCACGGTTTCGAGCAGAAAATATTAGTTTTTCACACTTCACACATTCATTATTTCAGAAACAATTACTTTATAGGACTTAAAAAATTTGTTACCATGTAAAAGTACAGTTAATAAATATTTGAGCAGAAATAAGTAACACAGACAGTAAATTTCAATTCGAGCCATATTTATGGACACCAATGCGCTCATCAATACATATTTTTTAATTATGAAATAATAGTCATTCATACCCATTGGGAAAAATGATTTTCAGACTCAAACGGTTTTTTATTATCGAAAAACTGAATTGAACAAAGCTTATTCAACTCCGGTAGTATAAATAAATACATACCTAGTTTGAAGTCATCGCCTGTACCTAATACTCATGTATAGGTAAGATAATGTAACTAATACATAAAATTCACTGACCTTAGGTCTTAGGTCATAATAGGATACTTAAATTGTTGTTTTAATCCACTCAATGCGTTGACAAAAATCTACCAAAAATGTGTACTAACGTGATTTATCTGTCAACATATTCCCCCAAATACCAAAACTGGTACGAGAGCGGAACTCTCACGGTCCAATCTTGGAAGATATAGATTTTTTCGTGTGTTTATTACAATTTCAGGCCGCCACGACCCGTCAATAATGTGTAAGATTTTATCCGCAAGGGACTCGGCGTCACACGACGCACGTAGCGTGCGTGTAGGCAGCATTACGGCGCCCCTGTGAAATATAAATGATGTGTCGCATCTATTGAGAAATGGTTGATCTATGTATAACAAAATAAACAATATTTATTGGGCTAACGTGGTTAACGTAAATTGTGACAAACTGTTAAAATACAGCTTGAAATGTATTTTTCGAAGTTTTTCACGATGTCTTTGTATTTAAGACTTATCGACAATTCAGTTTAAAAACACATTGCTGTGTAAAAGCCCATTAGCACTTGGTATTTACCCAATCCCTTTCGTCAGTTCCCTCAAAATGGGACATTACGTCCACGCGTGTGAGATAAAACAGTTTAATAAACTATTTCGATGGCTCCTACGTATAAAGGCTAAACTGCCGCTTACGCCTTTTTCCAATTATTTAAGAAATGATTTCATTTTGCTCTAATCTATAACGTCAGTAAGAAAAAAAATTTTTTTTTTCCATTAGATACAAAATAAAATTTTAGGCAAATAGGCGTATGTGCAAAACTACGCCACGTATAAAGCCCAATCATACGATTCGTCAATCTATACGAGTAGTTGCTTACATAAATATATATTTTATATAATCCAAATCTTAAATAAAGCCATGAAAATATTTAGCAAATTGTTTTATTTATAAATTATGACACATTATATAGTTTTTTAATTTTTAGCGTTAAGAGTCGCATCTCAAACTAATTTGAAAATTATAAATAACTTGAAAAAATCGAACTGCCTAAGGCATCGTGGGTTCAATTCCCGCCTTAGGCAGTTCGATTTTTCAAGTTATTTATAATTTTTAAAAATATGACACATTATGTTAAAAGACCTAACTAAATCTCGAGCACAGTATATGGGCGTATTTGCGTTAAAACGTAATAACGATACATTAAACGACTTTTTGTAACTGATTTATTATTGATATAGCACATGATAACAATTAAAATAATTACATGCATAAATAAAGAGAGTAATAGCTTAAAATATTATATTTACGTTGTCATTTAAGTCTCTTTACGTTGAATAATATACATGAAATCATAGAAATATGACGACGTAAAAGGGCAATGCGTAAAATCTCAAAATATATAAGAAAAATATAAAAATTGATAACAGCAGTAGCAAAAGCATTACATGTTAAGGCTAAATGTGAAANAGCTTTATAGTTACCTTTTTATGTAACGTAGCTTCACGGAAAAGTAAGTAATTGTCTTGAATAGTGACTTGTCGCATTGTCATCGAAAATATTAGCACATTAAGTTCTAAACAATTGAATGCAAAAACAAAATGCGTCGTAATTGAAAATCCAATGGCTTCACCAATCGCTACTTTCGTGGCCGCATAATTTCTCACTTCGACAAAAATGTTACCCATGACATTACCCCGGCATCCCGGAGCAAACCCAAATTCTCCATGCCCCGCCACATTTTGTGGGTAACTGACAATTCTCGTGGGTTCATATACGACTATATTATTATTTAGCAGGTTCAAGCGATATTCGACTTCAGATTTTCTTGTTTGACTGTAAAAAGGAATTGGTTTAGGGTTTTTACGAAAGCTCGTGGACAAACATTGATTTTAAAATTGGTTAGATCTCAATGATGAACGCTTTCGAACCTCTAGCGGAAAATGTCTAAGGCTGAGTTGCATCACCTAACTTTTACCGTAACTTTAACGAAAACCGGTGTTTTTGTATGGAGTTTGACAGATTTTTGACGTTTGTCAAAGTTAAAGTTAAATGTTGCAACCCAGCCTGAGTAAACATATTATTACCTATTTGTCATAACAAATAGGTAATAATATTTTATTATTCGTAGGTATTTGTGACAGCAAAAGACGTATAGAAGAAAAAATAAATAAACCATTATAAAATAAGGTACTTACTCATACACACAATATTAATTTAGTTCGTTCATTCTCATCTAAAACTAAGTAATAAAATTAATAAGAAGAGTCAGTCATTAATTTGTGCTACAGGTATTAAACTAAAATTAACGTTAGACATTTTCGATACAGCGTTTTAGATAAGGTTTCGATATAAGAAGACGTAGAAAATTTGAGGTAGGTATTAATTATCATCCAATCAAAATACAAAAGTTAGGGCTTAATTAGTTTATCACGGCTTTGCGAAAAACGTTCCTGTAGTTTTTTATAGGTTCAGTCAGCATCAAATAGTGACACCCAAAGTAGCCAAAAAGTTCGCAACACGTCTTTGTAACAATTGGAATAGGTTTGTGTTGTCAAGTTTTTGGCCATTTTGGGTGTTACGAACTATTTGACGCCGACTGTAGAATGTGAATTTATCGATAGAACTTGTTTGACCTATTTTACTGTTTTGTATGTTTTGAAACTAAACAGAATGACAGTGTTTAACAGGATCAAATTAAGTAGTGTACATTTAAAAAAACACCCCTGTAGGTTTAGGGGAAGTTCAAATTCTTTATTGCTCCAATGTTGGTATATTATTGATTGATTTTGATTGAGGGACTATAATGGATGGTTTAGGTATCGATATGTATCTTCAACTACCTACATACATGTAAAGGATATGTTTAAAGGGGAAGCTCTGACTGGGAGTAGGAATTACTTTTAGTCTTTTTAAAAAATAGGCTCAGGTCTTAATTTTATTGCCAAAAAAGACCTAACCAAGAAATCCGTTGTAAAACAAACGCGTCTTTTTTACACAAGACATGTTTTTTCGCAAAGCCGTTACAATTTCCACATTCACTCACTTACAGTCATATTCGCACACAAATTCGTAAAATGGTAATTTACAAAAGGTTAGACTATCAAAGGAACACAGTCAATGATTGGTGCAGCGATTACTTATAGTTTATTAAAACTAAGTATAAAAAAAGCTTAAAACTAAACTTATCTATCATTAGATAAACGTCTGTTTGAAAGTGACAACTATTTTTTTCATTATTTTTATATTTAAAATTCAACCTATTACCATTTCTAAAAAGATTTTCAATTCTTTACAAGGTTGAAAATTCAACCTGGACCATTCTGTAAAAAAAGTAAACGAAAAACTGAATTCTATTAGATAGTTTTCATTTCTTAAGATCAGGCATACAGCTTGATCATAAAATTATGTAATGCTGTGTCAATGTATTTCTCTAGCCTTACACAAATCATAGCCATTTACTAACCTGCACTATCAGTAATCGCTGCACCGCCAATGCTTAATTTACTATATACATCGGAGGGATATCTTATATACAGCTCTCTTGGACTCGATGTGAGGTCGTCACGACCTCTGGCCGCAGACGGTGGGCCGTGAGCGATGACGTCACTCCACCCGCCGAACTGGGACTACACGCGTTCACTCCCTTGTTCACGCGCCCTAAGCTATGATATGACTGAAACAAGTATAAGAAAGTCCATTACTACTGAACAAAAAATATCATAAATATTATTTTAGGTAGGTATTTAATACGATAGCCTGTAAACAAATACCTGGTCCTTGTATTCTAAGAACCCTTGAAACCCGCTTGCCGATAAAAGAACATGAAATAATTTATTTAATCCCATTTTAATTCCACTTTTGAACATTTTCGTTTCGCTTCCGTCAGACTCAGTGCATAGTTTGAGCAACCAGTTAGAAAGCTGGTTGAACCAGACTTCTTCTAGAGTCTGGTTACTCTAAAGGTTTGAAGAGCTGGCGAAACTGCTGATCGGCTTGGATAGTTTCTCGTACAAGAGTACGAAATTGCTAAGTAGCGAATATCAGGCTTCTCATACTATTAAAATATCATAGTCAATCACTTACAGTCAGTGAAGTAGGTATCACATGTTGTGTCAATTTGGACAACCTGCTATTCCACTTGGAACATGTTCAAGTAAAGATAAGGCTACTCACACTAGTTAAAGGTATCCTATAGTCCTTCTTCCTGAAGTCTGTGAAGTAGGCGCCGCCGTCGGGCTCGGAGCGCACGTCCTCGCCCAGCTTGGGCAGCTTGCTGGTGGACGGCGGCCGCTGTAGGCTCATGTAGCCGTTGGAGACTGGCCGCCGCTCTGGTGGGGAGATTGAACGGGTTAATGATTGGCAATCTTTCTAGATCTGAACCAATTACTTCTTCTTTTTCATCACTCCACTCTAGACAGAGTTGTCGTAGTCATCACACCTTCGTGGCAAAATGTACAATTCGTCGCCTTTCCTCCTGTAATACCTCCTTTTTTGTGAAACAGGGATTGACCTGACCGATAAGCAATACAGATACAAGCTACTACCAACCGGCCAATCAGAAAATATTGAGGGGATCTATGTTCAGCAGTGATCGTCCTGTGGCTGAAATAATGATGAAGACTCCCCTTAATTATAAAACTAATGTGTAACACATTCTTCTTCTTTTCAACAAAAAACACGTCCGTTTGCTATTGCTGTACGTACAAAGGCCTGTTCTAAGAATTTTCACGTCAACTAGTCGGAGCTTACATCTTTCCTGGTATGGCTCCATCGAAATGATGATTGTCAGTTCTGTCTACCTCCAATTCACCGTATAAACAAGGTATGGTGGATACAATACGCTGAACCTGATAGTTCAGCATCTTCTTTGTCCCAGAGGTAGGTGGCGTGCAAAAGCACCACTCATGCTCTGAAGCTGTATCCCCCGGGCTCCGTGCTACAAACGCGGGACTTTGACTCGAGCTATGACTTAGGACTTATCAACTACCTCCAACTAACCGTATAAACAAGGTATGATATCCGGGTCAGCGTCATCATTGTCCCGGGGGTCGGCAGCGTGTAGAAGCGCCCCGCGCGCTCCGAAGCCGTCTCCCCGGGGCTCCGTGCTGCTGGCCCGGGATTCCACTTCGTGCTTCACCGGCGTGGGGCAGTGGCCAGCCCGCTCCACGTACATTGCTTCACTGCTAAGGAGAAATGGTATTACAAGCATGGTCTAATGAATCATAAGGTATAGATCGTTTCATCTACGAAGACGCGCCTCACCAATTTTTGGTCAAGGTAAGCGCGGGATGCGGGGAGTTTTATTTGAGCAATCCGACCGTCATTGTTGTAGTGTGCGTGTGCAGTGTGCACTCATGAATGATTTAACGTGTGCCGATAACACTCAAACATAAGCGGAAGAATGATGGGGCGCGTCTTCGTGGATGAAACGATCTATAGTGACTACGCGCGATCGTTTTTATTCCTACTTTGTTTGACCTACCTATGAAGAGGCAAATTGCGGAGTAAAAACAAAAGTTTCTTCATTTTCCTACCTTCCCTGTATACTCGTACACGTGTCATTGCTGAAAAACGGGCGATTTCCATTCACAAATCGCTATCAAGAGCCAAAGCCAAACATTATTGGCTTAAATTAGTTTGAAAACGTTAAAACGTTACTCTCATAAATTCTTCCAAGATATTCTTGTTAGCCGGCGCTCCGAAGACTTCGCAAAATCGTCTGCTCTATCAGAACTTATAAGGACTTAAATTAAAATGCGAACTTGGACTTCGCCGGGAAAGTTCCCTTATTTACACCGCTCCCACTTTGTTTATTGGCTTTGAATATTCAGTTAACAAATTAAATTATACGAGATGATTTATTTTTGGCATTTAGTATCGAGTAAATTATTTGTTGATTGATAATGATCAAAAGGAATTGAAGCCATTTAATTGTGTAAATATTAAGGAAATATGATGAGATATAGACGCACTTTTTTAGTCGCAAAATGGTAATTAGTATAAAATTTCCACTAATTCGAGGATGTGAACGAAGGCGTCCTTCGCACTAACTTGCATCGCAGTGGAATACATTCTAGAATATATTATTATGATCGACAAAAATGACTAACGGCATAAGTGTTTCGCACTTACGTGGGTTGCATTTACGAATAAAGGACGTATCACACTTATAAACCCGGAAAGGGATCGTAACCGTATCAACTCGAGGCGGTCAGTATTCTTTGTATGAAACTCCATACTGCAACGCACACTTATCCGCACCGTAATGTAAACGCCCTTGCGGATGACAACGCACGAAAGGCGATGACAGCACGCGAAGGGCGATACGGTGTTGATCCCTTTACGAGTTGATAAGTCTGCTATGACCTTAAAAACTATAAGTCATATTTTGAACTTCAAAATTTTGAGGGTTAACTATCACTTACCTCAAAGGTGCGTGTTTGGCGGGCAAATGTCTGTGCCTCGCGGCGTGCCTTCTATACAGGACGGCTAGGACCCCGCAAACTGCTGTAGCCAGCAGCGCCGACATGGCTGCTATTGATGCCAGCACTGGTGAAACGCCGAGTGCGTTGCTTTCTCCTGGACGAAATGAGAGTCATAGTAAACATTGGGTTTTTTTCATCTAATTCTAGGATAATATCTTTCACAGTCTTTTGATGGTGGAAGAATTATTAGGAATAGTAATTTCCAAAGATTACTATAAACAAACTCAGAAAGATTCTCTTTATATTAGTATTATGGGCAATTGATGTTTTTAGGAGATACGAGTACGAGTCTGAGGAAATATGAATTCATACTCGACTGAAACATTTAACGCTTATTAATTCAACTTTTACTAACAAAAGTTTAGAAAGTGACTTGCAAACTGGGAATATTAACAAAAAGAGACACAAAGCTTAAAGTTTTGTGAAGCTCACTACAAATAACTCTACTATTTTTTTCTCTATATCCAAAGTAAAGTTATTTTGATCTCTCTTTTCTCTTCAATCCTCCTTACAGACTGACCAAAATCCATAAAAGCCATAAAAATGTACCTACGAGTATACTCAATCCCACGACAAATACCGAGCTACTAACAAGCTCTCAATGCAAAGTGTGCATTTTACCAAACCAACTTAGCTCTGCTATAATTTGCCAGAGCCACGGCAATGTTGCCCTGATTACAAAGTTACATAAACACAGTTAATTCTTGGATACAAACACTCATATAACCGGGAACGTTCGTGTTCAGAACGAAATTGTAAATTATATCACGCGATTAAACCTCCGGTAGATACAAGTTGTAATTCATGTCTGGATCGTCGGGTACACCGGGATATTGTTGTATTTTTGTATTTTTATTATATTCTAACGTATTGCAACGGGGTTTTAAATTTCCTTTGAAGTTCCGTTTCCTATTCGAACTTTGCTAGTTGGTCTATTAGAAGCTTTGTTACTCATTTTTTTATTGTTTTAGTTAAAAAAAATATTAAGTTGGAAAGAGCAAATTCTTTCGTCGAATAAATTATGGATTATACACCTTTTATACCTTTTAGAAAATATTGAACTTTCACATAAATAATACAAAAAAACTGCGTTTAAAAAACCGACCTCAAAAACTAAACCGACTCCAAAAAGTACACTACAAGTAAAGATTGATATTCTCGGAGTCGATGCCAGTCTGCCAAATGTCAAGCTCAAGAAACGTACTAAATATACCATAATGAAGTTGTAAACTTATTATTATAAACAAATCTCTAAGCACACCAAAACGTTCTGATTACACTTAACCCTTCCACAAACCAAACGACAAACACGTTACAATTCAGGTATTGTTACGCTTCATCCCTGAACTCCGACCCATTCCCGACGTCAAAAGGTTAAATCAGCAGGTCTACGGGGAGACGGATGCAACTTTTCCTGCAAATTTGAATTTACAAGGGGAATCGAGCGTGAAGTTATGACGCTGAGTGGGAACGCTCCCAGTGCTGCTATACACACTTCGGGCATAGTTCAAACGGGGAACATGGAGCTAGTCTTTGAAACGATCTAGTCTTTACATTTTATACACTATTATTATAATTAAGAACGATTAAAATTTATTTATTAGTTTATCGATGATGTTGATGATGAAGACCATTTCAGCCATAAGACGTTCACTGCTGAACAAAGGCCTCATTCATTCTATAGTGACCGATTAGTAGCGGTGGATTAATTGTTTGTTCTACTGGACCTATTTCAAGAACTTTTTTATCATTGGAATCCTACTTTATATTTCTGATGAATGTAGGAGACAAAGTTCGCGTAATCAGCTAGTTTATTATAAAACCTTCAACTGAACTATCTCCAATATCCAATATTGAATACCTATCTTCACCAGTTTTTACTGCCTCATCTAAAACTCTGTTTGTATTTCTGCTCATTCAAAAAATTAGGTTTAAAGAACATTTATTTCTCATTAAAAACATTACAGTCACTTACATGAGAAATTAACAAATTTTATGTAGTTAGATAATAATAATAATATCTTTGGACATTTTACACTGCGCCGCTAGCCCCAAACTAAGCAAAGCTTGTACTATGGGTACTAGACAACGGATATAAACATACTTAAATACTTTTTTTTTTGTAAATACATACATATTATACATAGAAAACACCCAGTCCAATACAAACAAATATTATGTTAATGCACACAAATGTTTGTACTGTGCGGGAATCGAACCCGCAACCTCTGGAATAGTAGTCCGATTCGAACCACTACACCAAACGGCCGACTGAGATAATTTACAAGTTTTCCAATAGCCAGAACAAGCAGATGTACTTCTGCGGGAACCGTCCTAACAAACCTGTACTTACGTGAACTTTGTTGTACATACGTATAAACACTCAGTTTTCTAGGTTTTAAAATTACATTATTTTATGTACATACGCACATATTATTATGGAATTTATTAATTATTGACCTACACAATGTTTATACCGCGGTGTCTTGTTTACGAGCGGCGCTGGGATTGCAGCGATTGTTTTTTGTTTGATCTGGATTATGTTAGTCTCGCGGGTTCACACGTACTGTTTGTTTAAGTTTCATTCCAATTTGAATGTTATACAGCGATAAAGAATGCGTGTTGTGTACATTTTGTGTTGCGTGTCCATTATTTGACAGTGTTTGAATCAAAATTGAATTGGAGTTGATTTGAATTGGATCCAAATTTGGCTCCAAATTAGAATAGCCAGTTATATGTGTCAGTGTATAAGTACTAGCATCCTTCCTAGACCTCGTGCTCATTCCCATCATTCTTTTAATTTTTTATCGCGACGTCATAAAATGTCATTGCATGGGTTGGCGTTGGTACTCGCCTTATATCCAAAATTATGAGTCTAGTTTATTAAAATGGAGACTTGAATTATGTCAAAAAAATAGAGAAAAATTATGCATTGCCTATACACAACACAAAGGTGTTATCAAAGAGAATATTAGTTTTTATACTCAGGACCCAATCAAGGCGCATGTTATTCCGAAACAAACTCGCAATAATAAAATAATGCAAGGCGGTCATTACCTCCATGGCACCTCGGATGAAGTCGTTTCCCTGCCGTGACCAGGGCGCTATTTGTGCCATGTAATGACGGATCACGGGCTTATGCGAAATTGGGCATAATGACTCAGTGAATAAAGGCAAATTCGAGTGGGTTTGCGTATTAAAATACTCATTTTTATGGCCAATATAGTTTTCATTCTTCACCTTCTGTGCATTTTCCACTTTAGTAGTGAACATTTCCAATTTTGGATTATGACTTACGTGTATTTAAATGCATCATGGTGCGAATAATAGCTGTAGAAATAGTATTATTAGCGTAATGCATTTTTTTACGATCGCCAGTAGGAACAGTGATAAGAAACGCCAAAATAACAGTTAGCTGAATACGACTTTTGGACATAAACGACACGAATTTTATTATACGACACAAATTAATAAAGTACCGAAGCTTTTGTGGGCAGGAAAAATATTTTTAGACAGGCATTTTATAAAACTANTAAAACTAAACACTGCTTTATAACTGATGCTTTTATGCATGCAGTGAAAAATTTGTGGGTCATTTTTATTTTATCACGCGGGACACAACACAACCACAGATGTCTCGTGGATGAATTGGGCCATCAACTACCTAATCGATACCTAAATTGTGTATTTTCTTTTAGTAATCGATGTAATTATCAACACGGAATCCTGACTTAAAAATAACCAACTCCATCCAAATTACCTACAATTACGTTGCCTTCGACACATCGAGTCACTCCTTTAGGAAATTATCGAAATAAACAGTGATGTATGTAATCATAATAAATGAGCTGTGGTGTAAGTTTTGCCTTTGTTTAGATTAAAATAATTACCGAGTTTAACCGAAATAATGAATAGGGAGAGGATTAATGTCAAAGTTTTACTATTTGGTCATGTAATTATTAAAGAGACTTTGCTTGTAAAAATAGCAAATAATAGCTACATGATTAAAAAAAATTGACTTCAAATTAAATTCCCACAGTTTTCTCCCAAGATAGTTCTAGAGTACACAAGTAATATAAAATAACATCTAATCCAGTATAGATTCCAAATTGTTTTATTATGAAAGCTTATTCTATTTACCATAATCTAGAATATTAAACTTTTGTTTCCATCAGATGAATAAGTAACTAAGCCTCGGATTAAAACGCACGAATGGACATTACTAAGTACGCATGTTATGCTCTTAAATAATTATAATAACTCCAGGATTAATCTTCTATAAGATAATAGATTTTAACTTTATATCGTTAGTTTAACTCGTGTTACTTAATAGTAATAGTATAAGATTTGTGGTTGATCTGCTGCACAGTCGACAACACAAAATAACACATTGTTCTTACATTTTTTTAATCCACAACGAGGAAGCTCTTGACCTGTATCTCACCTGATGGTAAGTGACGATTAGGCCGAAGTTGGAAGCGAGTTTCACCCGGAATCCTCAAACCACGGAGGAACTGGCTATCTTACCTCTTACTGCCGAAACACAACAATGCTGTTAACATCACTGTTATGGCGACAGACTTAAGTAAGATGGTGGTGGTAGCTAGCCAGGCGGACTTAGAATAAGCTGTACCACCAACAAAACCGAACAGAAAAATCTTATTGCAAAATAGCCACTAATAAAACTACATGCCAGACATGAGATACACTTACCAGTAAACTTGGCCTGGCCCTTCAGAGTGACGGTCTCTATGGTGGACACGTCACTTCTTCCCTTGGCGTTGACGGCGTAGAGGTCGATTCTGTAGCTGACGCCTGGTGGCAGTCCTTTGATCTCGAAGTACGGGGGAGTTCGGTTTGTGGACACGTTATAGCGGACCTGCGTGAGATAGACATCATCGTCATCATAAGTTTAGGTGCTTATTAATCGACAGTCTTGGCGTCAGAGTCGCGGAGTCTCGATGACAAGCGAATAATTATATGAAATTAACTAGAATATGCTACAAGTCCCCGATCTGTCGCTGTCGCGTGTCGCCCAGTGTGCGCCTACACTTACAGTCTATGGTAGGCCACTGTTGGACGTAAGCCTTGCTTAAGGGGCGATCTCCCGTAGTATCATTCAGTCACTGTAAGCTATCTTCTTGAAATTGAAGCCTTGTTTGTTAAAAATATATTTGGCCTAAAAATTGTTTTCCATGTTCTCATGAATACGCAAAAATTACTTCATTCCAATCTCGACATGAAAAAAGTAGAAAGAGACGAGTTTGAATTTACAGAAAAAAGTCCTGAAGTAATGAAAAAAGTCATTGCCAGTTCGCAAAGGAATTAAGACTTTGTTTTACTCGGCAACAAGATGGAGAAAGTTTATTACTAGAGTTTTAAACCTATAATAAGAAAAAACATCTCAATACATAAATCATAAGGAAATGAAAACAATCTTAAGAAGAATATACTCACGATAAGTGACGGTAGCTCCAACAGCTCCATGAGGAAGGTCTGTGGCAGGCCGCCGTCGAAATTCTCCACGCATTCCACGTACAGCGAATCTATACTTTGGTTTGCCACTGAGCAGTTCTGGAGGTGGAACGGCCGACCTTTGGGAAAATTACAAATAACCCGGTTAATGTCAATAGAATGTCTATAAAATTGAGATGACAATAGCCCAATGATGTTGGAGTCAGACTGCTGATTTCTGACTCGCTGAGGAGTTCGAACCGCATCGCTTATGGACTATTGTGGTGAACCTATTCATACTACAACCATTTCTTTAGTTTAGCTCTAGGGGTTACCGGGTCTTTATATAATACAACCTACTCGTGTAAGTACTTAAAAAAAACTAATTAGGTCACAAACATCTGTATCAAAAGTGCATCAAGAATATTTCTATAAAAATATTATAACATTTCTTACCAGCTGCAACCAATTGGAAGAGGCACGGAACCTTCTGCTTGCCTACGGTGTTCGCCCCATAGCAGGCTAGGGTTCCGTACTCCATGTCAGTGGTCGGAGTGTAGTTGAGAGTGGACGTGTGCCCGTGGCTGCTGTATAACCTGCACCAAACGTTCAATTCACGTCCGTATTCACAAACGATGCTTGCTTAAATGACGCAGCAAAACGAACGCACAGCGTTGAATAGAGCTCTGTGATTGGTTCATGTGTCACCCTGTGCGTCCACGCGCACTGTGAGACCTCATAGTAATGTTTGTGAATACGGGCGTCAGTGTTCTAGATACTGACGAAAGAAAGATCTTTAGTAGAATGATAAAGAAGGAAGAACCATTAATTGCATGGGGTATCATCACAGCATGGCAAAGACAATAATTATATAAAATCTTGGAAGTTTTTATTGGCTACTGATATTGCTAGTTGCTATATGTGATAGATTTATAAAAAGAGTAATTGAGTTAGCGTTTTGGAACCCTTCATCAATGATTATCTTCTGTAGTAGATAGGTATTTCGATTCCAAGGGTTCCAAGATTCTTCTTGAAGCTTGTAGATACAATGGCTTATCATTTTACTTGAACAAGTGGGTTACTTACCGTGGTGGTATTTCAGTCTGTTCTCCTGAGTTGTTGAAGGTCCAATGGAAAGACACAAGCGCGGGGTTGGCGTCGACGGAACAGTGCAGCGAGACGGTTTCATGCTTGAGCGCTCCAAATAGTTCTCCGTCCCTTTTCTCTGCGCATACTGGTGCATCTGTGAATGAAAATAATGCTTTTATTTTTCCCTTTTCATTGGTGTGACCGTCAGGTCATTCTACGCAAGATTTTCTTGAAAAGATTCTGTCTCTTGATAGGCTGATGACCTGAGAGCGATCTTTTATTTATATCTTACTAAGCTTTCCGCCCGCGGCTTCGCCCGCGTGGAATTTTGACTGTCACAGAAAAACCTGTGACAAAATCCCTGTTTCAAAATCCGGGATAAAAACAATGCTATGTCCTTTTCCGGGACTTAAACTATCTTTATGCCAAATTTAATCAAAATCGCTTCAGTGGTTTAGGCGTCAAAACGTGACAGACAGACAGAGTTACTTTCGCATTTATAATATTAGTATAGAAGTATAGATATTAGTATAGATAATAAAAATAACACATCAAGAGAAGTCTAAGTTTTTGCTGACTAAGTAGTTTCTTGTATAATTCAATCGAATGACCCACTTTCACTTCAGCAGATCCCAAGTATTCCAAGTAACAATAGATCCCTCTCATCATTTTTCCAAGTTCCGCTAACAATCGAATTCGTAACTACGAATGGCCCAATCAAACTCAAACAGATTTCACAACGTCAACAACACCATCCGATAACGAAGGAGCGAGAGGGAAACTTTTACAAAACTGCAGCGGGGCGTAACTCGTAGTTATAACGGGTCTTGCTGAAATAACAGAAGAAACTATCAAACTTAACGCAGATTGATATCCTTAACTTTGTGAAACCTAAAGCTGGAGTTGCCCGAAGATAATTACTATGGGGACGTTTTAATGAGGAAATTAATATCCCTTGGGACACTGAGGGTTGCTAACGGATACTCAAGTAGGTCGGTATCGTGGCTTCTTACAGTGTGCAGCTTTAAGGAGAGTAAACTTAATGTATAATGTTATGTAAATATTTTACTAAAGCCTATTGTACGAGTATGCGACGTATTAAACGTTTTGAGAGTTATAATTATGAAATCTATACTAATATTATAAATGCGAAAGTAACTCTGTCTGTCTTTCTGTCTGTCTGTCTGTCTTGCTTTCACGCCTAAGCTACTGAACCGATTTTGGTGAAATTTGGCATATAGGTAGTCTGAGTTCCGGGAAAGGACATAGGATAGTTTTTATCCCGGTTTTCGAAACAGGGACGCGCGCGATAATGTTTTTCTGTGACAGACAAAATTCCACGCAGGCGAAGCTGCGGTCGGAAAGCTAGTTAAATAAATGATACAATATCTCCATTTGGAAGTAATTTAAAAACCTCTCCGACACAAAAAAAATTAACAAGGAAGTGATTAAACAATCTCTAATGTGTAAAAAAATAACACATCAAAACATTGTCAGCAATACAATACATTTGACAGTCCGTGTCAATGCGCTGACAATAGATATCCGTTTCTGCTGTAAGGGTGTCCGGAGATCCGGTGCTCGTCGGTAGTGCGTTGTTCTTTTATTCTTTTCTACTTTCATGACACCCTGTATATTGAAATGTGACGTGTATTTAAAGTTGCATTTCAGTGGAATTATTTCTTGGCATGGAACAGCATAAAATTGAACAATTTGGCATCTCAAGCAGTTGTAAAATGTGTAACATGATGTGCTATCGACTGTACATACTGAATTCGGTACATATTTTTCCATCTATTGAAGTTCCATAATTACCTACCTATTCATTTTTTCCAAAGAAATAAGTTATACGTGTATATGTAATTTCTATTCAAAAATTGTGATTACCTACCCAAATAGCCAAATATCTTCTACAGACAAAATTCTGAGAATGTAAAATTGGACCCAGAGAAATGAAAAGAACATAAATAAAATTTCGTTTCATTAAAAATTAAAGACATTATTGAACGTTGTCTAACGTTGTATGGGACTCATCTTGTAAAAGTAAAACAATTGAATGACGGTTACAATTGTTTTTTTTTAATTAACCTTTTATAAACCCAGCCAGTATCTAACACTACAGAGATTTCATTACAATTTAAGCCAACTATGACCAGACTTTTTCCCGTATGTAATAGAACATCGGATGCTCCACAAAACGTCAATTCACGCACGTAGGGGCGCTCACAAAAGGGCGTTTTGCTATCGCATAGTCCGCCTCTGACAATTTCCGAGTGTGAGGTCCGGACGCCCGGGATATTTGCATTCTGGGGAACTTATGCTCGCTGTGAGTTGGATTCGTAGTTAAGCACTTGTGCTTCCTTGTCGTACAATTTGAAAGATATTGTAGACATTAAAATAACGTACTGTTCTTTTGATTGACTGCACCAGTAATCAACAAAACAATAATGCTATACACATGTCTGATAGTAAACATTATTTCTATTAACCCATTCCGAAGTTTTTGGCTTCTTCTAGTATTGACGGACAAAATCTTGTGCCTAAGGATGCCTAAGTGAGCAGGAGATATCAAGCGTTTCTTGCGAGCCCTGGACGCACTTTCTAAATTCCAAATAATCAAAAGTGACTTACATCGGACTAGCAACGTGACAGGATTGCTGGTGCCTTTCCCCTCGCTATTGGCAGCCATGCAGGTGTAGTCTCCAGCCGCTGCCCTGGTCACGCTTTGAAGCACCAGACTTTGGGCGCTGAGGATGATGCCCGCGCCTTCGTTGTGGAAAATTTCGTTGTTCTGTAGAAGATAAAACATTTTAGAACTATTCCCATCGCTGCAACTCCTGTGTACGAAAAGACACGAGCTATGGCTTGACTGTCAATAAAAGCCTAACCAATGAAGTTAATTATAGCTAAAGGTTGGCATGTCATTGAACCCGCAATTTAAATTGCTTTGCTATCGACCTCCTAAATAATAAAACAATCAATATGTATTTTTAGATTGGTTATTAATTAAATTCCTTAATTGATTTTGATGTCTCATCCGAATTAATTAGTCTTTCAAATTAACGAACATTTAGCCTCTTCCCCTTACTTAAAATCTCCACCCACTTAATTACCGAATAGCCCAAAAGGTGGTCCTAAGTACACATCAACATCATGACAGAGCGGGGCCTCAAAGGCCGCAGCAGCTTAAGCACTCAGCCGGGAAACCGTATGACCCGATGTGCCCCGGATAAGCCGCGGTAGTGCACTTAACGTCAACGCGTCGCTCGTAATCCTTTATTTTATAATAATGACAGAAATAAAAAAAGTTTTTTGCTAAAAAGCACCTTTTTTGGTCAAGAAAGTAATCCCATCCCAACTATATATATATATATAGGGATATATTGGGATATATATATATATATATATATATATATATATATATCCCAACTAATATTATAAATGCGAAAGTAACTCTGTCTGTCTGTCTGTCTGTCTGTCTGTCTGTCTGTCTGTCTCTTACGCTTTCCCGCTTAAACCTCGCAACCGATTTTGATGAAATTTGGCATAGAGATAGTTTGAGTCCCGGGAAAGAACATANTTTTAGACAGGCATTTTATAAAACTATACACTGCTTTATAACTGATGCTTTTATGCAATATTATGCATGCAGTGAAAAATTTGTGGGTCATTTTTATTTTATCACGCGGGTCACAACCATAGGTACCAGATATCTTGTGGATGAATTGGACCATCAAATACCTAATCGATACATAATTTAGTTTATTTTAGTAATCGATACAACAACACGGAATTCTGACTTAAAAATAACTCCATCCAAATTACCTATAATTACGTTGCCTTCGACACATCGAGTCACTCCTTTAGTAGTAAAGTGATCGAAATAAACAGTGATGTATGTAATCATAATAAATGAGCTGTGATGTGAGTTTTGTTCTGTCTGTCTGTCTGTTACGCTTTCCCGCTTAAACCTCGCAACCGATTTTGATGAAATTTGGCATAGAGATAATTTGAGTCCCGGGAAAGAACATAGGATAGTTTTTATCCCGGTTTTTGAAACAGGGACGCGCGCGATAAAGTTTTTCTGTGACAGACAAAATTCCACGCGGGCGAAGCCGCGGGCGGAAAGCTAGTAAATAAATAAGGATAATATTTCTTCCGTTAGTCCGACATAGACAGTGGATGGAAAAAAAGAGAAATCGGTTTACATTGCAGATCTATTTGTGCCTCACATTATTTATTTAGACCTAGTCTTGGATATTCTTTGAATCTACTATTTTAGTAGGGATTGATTTTCTTCCGGTAGCATACAACCATTGTTTTTATTACCGAATAGTTATTTAATGACATACGAGGAGATTCGCAGGAAAACCAAAGTAACTATTGCCAATCATAAGTGGCAGTGAGTGTGACACATAGTTCGTGAACTGATGACCGTTGGAGTAAAAAACCACGGGCCGAAAAACGTAGTGTCGGCAGGCTTCCCACTGGGTGGACCAACGATCTGTACCTGGAAGTACCAAGACGCGTGTAACGCAGTTTCGTTCGTTGTGGAAATCCTTAGGGGAGAGTTTTGTCCAGCAGTGGACGTCATTTGGCTGGAACCTCCGTTCAACAACACCAGCTACTGGTAGATATCGGGTCAGCTCTAAAATTACGTCTAGTTAATAAGAGCGCACTCGAGAAGTGAGTTCTTATTAAATAACGCTAACTTACAGTTAGCGGGGTATACGTGGGAATTTTAAAGACTTTAAATTATTTGAGTTTGTTCCGGCGTTTCTTCTCTGAGTTTGTTCCGGCGTTTCTTCTCAGCACTTGCCATATGTTTGTCTCGAAGCGCTGGTAGGGCCCAAAAGATAAGGAGACATGTAAAGTGCCCCATAAGGGCTACCTTTTTCTTTTTTTATTATTTTCTATTGAAGTTCATAAGTGCCACTTGTGGTCTAAACTGAATAAATATTTTTGATTTTGATTTTGATTAAATCATGATATTGATGTCAGACGAAACAAGAGTGATTAATTACAATAAAATAACTCACTTGTCACTTCTCAAGTCGTTCTTATTTCTCGAGACACATTTTTTGTGCTGACTAAATATCTAGTTGGTATTGTTCATCGAAGGCTGAAACGTACGAACTAACAATAGAAGCACCTACGTCATGGAACCACACGAGCCGGTGCTTCTTGCATCCAGACATCCTCACATCCACACATCCAAACTTTCGCATTTATAAATTAATATCAGACGAAAAAAGTGAGTAATCACAATAATAGAACTCACTTTTCAAATGCGGTCTTATTTCTCGAGACGCATTTTTTTGCGCTGACCCGACAACTGGTTGGTATTGTTGATCAAAGGCTGAAACGTACGAACTAACATAACACTTACGTCATGGAACCACACGAGCCGGTGCGTCTTGGGGTTGGCCTTCACGGTGCACTCGAAGTACACGTCATCACCCTCCTTGATCTCGTCCGGGTTGAGGTTGGAGCCCATCTTGAGGTCCACTACGGGCACGTCTAGGACACACGATGAAAATAAGGATAGTTGTAGATTAATGATTTTTTCTGTCGTGTGCGACGGGGCTTACAATTCGTGTGTATTTGTAAATGCGAATGAGTGCTTGACATCACCACATATTATAAAACAAAGTCAGTTATAGATAGTGATTCAAGAGGAAGGTTTTTAAATACCTGTGCGAAGGAGGGGCGGGTCACTAGTTAGAAAATAATAAAGATCTGCGTTGACGCTGATTAAAATTAAATTAAACTAATTAAAATATTCATGAAAGCTTTAAATTAAACACTATAAAGATAATTTTCCTCCATTCTTGGAAAATTAACACAAAAAACCTTCACAATTTACAATAAAAATTTTTCTTTGCTCAGGAAAAAACTGTATTTATTCAAGCCATCAAAAACAAAAGAAGTAAGNCCCAAAAAGAATGATGTCCTTTGTTTAGATTAAAATAATTACCGAGTTAAACCAAAATAATGAATAGATATAGAATTTATGTCAAAGTTTTACTATTTGGTCATATGTAATTATTAAAGAGACTTTGCTTGTAAAAATAGCAAATAATAGGTACATGATTAAAAAGTTTTGACTTTAAATTAAATTCCCACAGTTTCCTCCCAAGATAGTTCTAGGGTACACAAGTAATACAAAATAACATCTAATCCAGTATAGATTCCAAATTGTTTTAATGAAAGCTTATTCTATTTACCATAATCTAGAATATTAAACTTTTGTTTCCATCAGATGAATAAGTAACTAAGCCTCGGATTAAAACGGACGAATGGACATTACTAAGTACGCATGTTATGCTCTTAAATAATTATAATAACTCCAGGATTAATCTTCTATAAGATACTAGATTTTAACTTTACCTACATCGTAATATTAATATTATGATATTATATACAATAGTAATATTATAAAATTAAATATAGGAAAATATAAATTATATAACTCAAAGAACTGACTGACTGTTTTACTGACATAATTGATCTTTCAACGCACAGCCCAAACCACTGGACGGATCGAACTGAAATTTCTGGCGACCGCTAGTTGAGAAATAAAATTGTGGTTGATCTGCTGTACAATCGACAACACAAAACATCACACTGTTCTTTTGTTTTTACATTTAATTGAAAAATGGAACCTAATAAAACTACATAACTTGCCAGACGTGAGATACACTTACCAGTAAACTTGGCCTGGCCCTTCAGAGTGACGGTCTCAATGGTAGACACGTCGCTCCTACCCTTGGCGTTGACAGCATACAGGTCAATCCTGTAACTGACGCCTGGTGGCAGCCCTTTGATCTCGAAGTACGGAGGCGTTCGGTTTGTGGACACGTTGTAGCGGACCTGCGTGAGATAGACATCATCGTCATCATAAGTTTAGGTGCTTATTAATCGACAGACTCGGCGACTAGACGCGACGACAGGCTGCGGCTGACAATTTCATATATTTTGTTCAAAGCTTCGCACGTCTTGACGTCAGAGTCGCGGAGTCTCGATGACAAGCGAATAATTATATGAAATTAACTAGAATATGCTACAAGTCCCCGATCTGTCGCTGTCGCGTGTCGCCCAGTGTGCGCCTACACTTACAGTCTATGGTAGGCCACTGTTGGACGTAAGCCTTGCTTAAGGGGCGATCTCCCGTAGTATCATTCAGTCACTGTAATATATTTGGCCTAAAAATTGTTTTCCATGTTCTCATGAATACGCAAAAATTACTTCATTCCAATCTCGACATGAAAAAAGTAGAAAGAGACGAGTTTGAATTTACAAAAAAGACCTGAAGTAATGAAAAAAGTCGTTGCCAGTTCGCAAAGGAATTAAGACTTTGTTTTACTACGACAAGATGGAGAAAGTTCATTACTAGAGTTTTCGACCTATAAATAAGAAAACACATCCATATACATAATCATAAGAATATGACAACAATCTTATGGAGAATATACTCACGATAAGTGATGGTAGCTCTAACAGCTCCATGAGGAAGGTCTGCGGCAGGCCGCCGTCGAAATTCTCCACGCATTCTACGTACAGCGAATCGATACTTTGATTTGCCACTGAGCAGTTCTGGAGATGGAACGGCCGACCTTTGGGAAAATTACAAATAACCCGGTTAATGTCAATAGAATGTCTATAAAATTGAGATGACAATAGCCCAATGATGTTGGAGTCAGACTGCTGATTTCTGACTCGCTGAGGAGTTCGATCCGCATCGCTTATGGACTATTGTGGTGAACCTATTCATACCACAACCATTTCTTTAGTTTAGCTCTAGGGGTTACCGGGTCTTTATGTAATACAACCTACTCGTGTAAGTACTTAAAAAAAACTAATTAGATCACAAACATCTGTATCAGAAGTGCATCAAGAATATTTCTAGAAAAATATTATAACATTTTTTACCAGCTGCAACCAACTGGAAGAGGCACGGAACCTTCTGCTTGCCTACGGTGTTCGCCCCATAGCAGGCTAGGGTTCCGTACTCCATGTCAGTCGTCGGAGTGTAGTTGAGAGTTGACGTGTGCCCGTGGCTGCTGTATAACCTGCACCAAAAGTTCAATTCAGTATTCTAGATACTAATGAAAGAAAGATCTTTGGTAGAATGACAAAAAAGGGAGAACCATTATTATAACCATATTGCAAGAGTAACAAACATCCAGACATCCAGACATCCAAACTTTCGAATTTATAATATTAGTAGGATTGCAGGATTGCAAGGGGTATTATCACAGCACATCTAAGACAATAAACATTTAGGTTTATTAAAACTTAGTCAATAGTGGATACTGATATTGTTTTGCATGAAAGACTAATAAAAGAAGTAACTGAGGTAGCGTTTTGGGACCCTCCATCGATGATTTATCTTTAATAGTGTATAGGTAATTTGATTCCACTGAAGGGATGCGAAGTTCTGCAGCTTCGTCTTTAAGATTGAGTGTAAGTGGGTTACTTACCGTGGGGGTATTTCAGTCTGTTCTCCTGAGTTGTTGAATGTCCAGTGAAAGGAGACGAGGGCAGGGTTGGCATCGACGGAACAGTGCAGCGAGACGGTTTCATGTTTGAGGGCTCCAAATAGTTCTCCATCCCTTTTCTCTGCACATACTGGTGCATCTGTGAATGATAATAATGCTTTTATTTTTCCCTTTTCATTGGTGTGACCGTCAGGTCATTCTACGCAAGATTTTCTTGAAAAGATTCTGTCCGTTGATAGGCTGATGACCTGAGAGCGATCTTTTATTTATATCTTACTAGCTTTCCGCCCGCGGCTTCGCCCCCGTGGAATTTTGACTGTCACAGAAAAACCTTATCGCGCGCATCCCTGTTTCAAAATCCGGGATAAAAACTATCCTATGTCCTTTCCCGGGACTCAAACTATCTCCATGCCAAATTTCACTAAAATCGCTTCAATGGTTTAGGCGTCAAAGCGTGACAGACAGACAGAGTTACTTTCGCATTTATAATATTAGTATAGAAGTATAGATATTAGTATAGATAATAAAAATAACACATCAAGAGAAGTCTAAGTTTTTGCCGTCTAAGTTGTTTCTTGTTTAATTTAATCGAATGACCCACTTTCACTTCAGCAGATCCCAAGTATTCCAAGTAACAATAGATCCCTCTCATCATTTTTCCAAGTTCCGCTAACAATCGAAATCGTAACTACGAATGGCCCAATCAAACTCAAACAGATTTCACAACGTCAACAACACCATCCGATAACGAAGGAGCGAGAGGGTAACTTTTACAAAACTGCAGCGGGGCGTAACTCGTAGTTATAACGGGTCTTGCTGAAATAACAAAAGAAACTATCAAACTTAACGCAGATTGATATCCTTAACTTTGTGAAACCTAAAGCTGGAGTTGCCCGAAGATAATTACTATGGGGACGTTTTAATGAGGAAATTAATATCCCTTGGGACACTGAGGGTTGCTAACGGATACTCAAGTAGGTCGGTATCGTGGCTTCTTACAGTGTGCAGCTTTAAAGAGAATAAACTCAACGTGTAATCTTATGTAAATATTTTAGTAAAGCCTAGTATGTGATGTATTGAACGTTTTGAGAGTTATAATTATGAAATCTATACTAATATTATAAATGCAAAATTAACTCTGTCTGTCTGTCTGTCTTGCTTGTCTGTGTGCTTTCACGCCTCGTCCCGGGAAAGGACATAGGATAGTTTTTTTTTAAACAGGGACGCGCTCGATAAAGTTTTACTGTGACAGACAAAATTCCACGCGGGCGAAGCCGCGGGCGGAAAGCTAGTTAATAATAAATGATACAATATCTCCATTTCTTGATAAATAGTTAAGTTGGTTCTAATTAATCTGGAAGTAATGAGGGCTATCGTTTTTATACTTCACAGTTGGCACCCCTGGCGATTGACAGGACCTTACTCTACATTGGCGCCATCTTGATGAGTGCAAATACGATAGTCCTCCTACCACTTTAGCGCTCACAAGTTGGCGCCACTGTCTTCGCTACTAGCAAGTGACAGGACCTTACTCTACAGTGGCGTTAACTGGTGAGCGCTAAAACGATAGCCCTCATTGAACAACCTCTCTGACACAAAAAAAAATCAGGGAAATGATTAAACATACTCTAATGTGTAAAAAAATAACACATCAAAACATTGTCAGCAATACAATACATTTGACAGTCCGTGTCAATGCGCTGACAATAGATATCCGTTTCTGCTGTAAGGGTGTCCGGAGATCCGGTGCTCGTCGGTAGTGCGTTGTTCTTTTATTCTTTTCTACTTTCATGACACCCTGTATATTGAAATGTGACGTGCATTTAAAGGCGCATTTCAGTGGAATTATTTCTTGGCATGGAACAACATAAAATTGAACAATTTGGCATCTTAAGCAGTTGTAAAATGTGTAGCATGATGTGCTGTCGACTGTACATACTGAATTCTGTACATATTTTTCTATCTATTGAAGTTCCATAATTACCTACCTATTCATTTTTTCCAAAGAAATAAGTTATACGTGTATATGTAATTTCTATTCAAAAATTGTGATTACCTTAACCAAATATCTTCTACAGACAAAATTCTGAGAATGTAAAATTGGCCCCCAGAGAAATGAAAAGGTTTTTAGGAATCGTACAGCGAAATTGGCACATTGCTTGATTTGAGAGATAATTCCGACAACATAAATAAAATTTCGTTTCATTAAAAATTATAGACATTATTGAACGTTGTCTCATGTTGTATGATAATAGGGACTCATCTTGTAAAAGTAAAACAATTGAAAGTCGGAAATAATTGTTTTTTTTTTTAAATTCATTTTTTACTAACTAAACCAGCCAATACCTAACACTACAGAGATTTCATTACAATTTAAGCCCACTATGACCAGACTTTTTCCCGTATGTAATAGAACATCGGATGCTCCACAAAACGTCAATTCACGCACGTAGGGGCGCTCACAAAAGGGCGTTTTGCTATCGCATAGTCCGCCTCTGACAATTTCCGAGTGTGAGGTCCGGACGCCCGGGATATTTGCATTCTGGGGAACTTATGCTCGGTGTGAGTTGGATTCGAGAGTTAAGCACTTTGGGTTCCTTGTCCGTTATGCTGTAAAATTTAAAAAATATTGTGGACAATAAAAGAACATACTGTTTTTTTGATTGACTGGACCATCAATCAACAAAACTATAATAATATTATGCTATCCACATGTCTGATAGTAAACATTAATTCTATTAACCCCTTACGAAGATTCTGGCTTGTTCTAGTATTGACGGACAAAATCTTATGTCTTAGGAAGTTTGTCAAGTGAGTAAGGCCCAGTTTTTTGATTCATAGTTAAAATAACAAATTGTTAAATTTTGCTACTAATGGTTAAATATTAACAAAATGTTAACTCATAGTTAAAAAATGTACTAAAAGTCTAGCTAACCATTGTTCGAAATACATTTTTCTCTGATATTTAACCACTTGTCATTTGACATCTGTCAAACTTGACCATTGGTTATTTTAACTACGAATCAAAAAACCGGGCCTAAGCAGGAGAAATCAAGCGTTTCTTGCGAGCCCTGGACGCACGTTCTAAATTCCAAATAATCAAAAGTGACTTACATCGGACTAGCAGCGTGACAGGGTTGCTGGTGCCTTTCCCCTCGCTATTGGCAGCCATGCAGGTGTAGTCTCCAGCCGCTGCCCTGGTCACGCTCTGCAGCACTAGACTTTGAGCGCTGAGGATAATGCCCGCGCCTTCGTTGTGGAAAATTTCGTTGTTCTGTAGAAGATAAAACATTTTAGAATTTTTCTTTTTACAAATTCTGTATAACTAACTACATATTGATTTTCTTCTAATAGGACTATTCCCATCGCTGCAACTCCTGTATACGAATAGCCACGAGTTGTGGCTTGACTGTCAATAAAAGCCTAAGGCTGGGTTGCACCATCTTACTTTAACTTTGTCAAACGTCAAAGATTTGTCAAAATCCATACAAAAAACACAGGTTATTGTCATAGTTACGGTCAAAGTAAGGTGGTGCAACTCAGCCTAAGTAATGAAGTTAGTTATAGTAGTACTTATTATTATTCTGTGGTTATAGCTAAAGGTTGACATCATGTCATTGAACCCGCAATTTAAATTGCTATCGGCCTCCTAAATAATAAAATTTACAATCAATATGTATTTATAGATAGGTTATTAATTAAATTCCTTTCGATTTTGATGTCTCATCCAAATTAATTAGTCTTTCAAATTAACGAACATTTAGCCTCTTCCCCTTACTTAAAATCTCCACCCACTTAATTACCGAATAGCCCAAAAGGTGGTCCTAAGTACACATCAATATCATGACAGAGCGGGGCCTCAAAGGGCGCAGCAGCTTAAGCACTCAGCCGGGAAACCGTATGACCCGATGTGCCCCGGATAAGCCGCGGTAGTGCACTTAACGTCGACGCGTCGCTCGTAATCCTTTATTTTATAATAATGACAGAAATAAAAATAGTTTTTGCTAAAAAGCACCATCTTTGGTCAAGAAAGTAAATAAGGATAATCTTTTTTCCGTTAGTCCGACAGTGAATGGAAAAAAAGAGAAATCGGTTTACATTGCAGATCTATTTGTGCCTCACATTATTTATTTACACCTAACCCTAGATATTCTTTCAATGTACTGTTTTAGTAGGGATTGATTTACTTCCTGTAGCATGCAACCATTGTTTCTATTATTGAACATTCTATGAAATCCGCAGATCGAATCAGAATTGAAAATAACCAAAGTAACTGATATAGCCCGCAGAATTGCCAAACATAAGCAGCAGTGAGTGTGACACATAGTTCGTAGAGCTGATGACCGTTGGGGCAGAAAAGTTCTCGAGTGGCGACCACGAACCGAAAGATGTAGTGTGGGCAAGCCTCCCACCAGATGGACCGACGATCTGGTGAAAGTCGCATGAACCTGGATGCAAGCAGCGCAGGGCCGTTCGTTGTGGAAATTCTTAGGGGAGAGTTTTGTCCAGCAGTGGACGTCATTTGGCTGGAACCCCCGATCAACAATACCAGCTAGTAGTAAATAGGGCAAAAAATGCGTCTTGGGAAATAAGAGCGCACTCGAGAAGTGAGTTCTTATTAAGCAACGCTAACTCACAGTTAGCGGGCCTACCTATACGTGGGAATTTTAAAGACTATAAATTATTAAATCATAATATTGATGTCAGACAAAACAAGAGTGATTATTTACAATAAAATAACTCCCTTGTCACTTCTCAAGTCGCTCATATTTCTCGAGACACATTTTTTGTGCTGACTCGATATCTAGTTGGTATTGTTCATCGAAGGCTGAAACGTACGAACTAACAATAGAAGCACCTACGTCATGGAATCACACGAGCCGGTGCGTCTTGCATCCAGACATCCTCACATCCACACATCCAAACTTTCGCATTTATAAATTATGTAGGATATTAATATCAGATGAAAAAAGTGAGTAATCACAATAATAGAACTCACTTCTCAAATGCGGTCTTATTTCTCGAGACGCAATTTTTTTGCGCTGACCCGACAACTGGTTGGTATTGTTGATCAAAGGCTGAATGAATACGAACTAACATAACACTTACGTCATGGAACCACACGAGCCGGTGCGTCTTCGGATTGGCCTTCACGGTGCACTCGAAGTACACGTCATCGCCTTCCTTGATCTCGTCCGGATTGAGGTTGGAGCCCATCTTGAGGTCCACTACGGGAACGTCTGGGACACACGATGTAAATAAGGATAGTTGTAGATTAATTATTTTCTCTGTCGTGTGCGACGGGGCTTACAATTCGTGTCTAGGTATTTAAGGGCGAATGAGTGCTTAAAATTAGAAAAAACGACGTTGACGTTGATTAAATTTAAATATGAGTAAAACTGTCAAGTTGATGAAAGCTTTAAATTAAACATTAAGGCTGAGTTGCACCACCTAACTTTAACGGAAACTTTAACGATAACCGATATTTTTTGTATGGAGTTTGACAGATTTTTGACGTTTCTTAAAGTTAAAGTAAGATGGTGCAACCCAGCCTAAGAATAGAAAGTTTATAAAGATAATTTTCCTCCATGCTTGAAAAATGAATACACAAGAAACCTTCACAAATTACAATTAAACATTTAATAACTACTAAAAACTTTCATGTAAATTTTCTTGGCTCAGGAAAGAACTGTATTTAATCAAGCCATCGAAAACAAAAGAAGTAAGAAACTACAGAAACGGAATTTGCCCCATCAGAAACGTAAAAGAAAGGACAATTTAACAAAACACTTACAATGAACGTTCAACCGCCACTTGTCTTCTATGGCGGAGTCCTTTATCTTCGAGTTCTCGGCGCGACACGTCAGATACTTCCCATCGTCCTCCACGCTCGGCACTAAGCTCAGAATGCTTAGGGTCTCGTTGTTCTCCGAGAACTGAAACCAAAACCAACCTTAACCCAACTGTAGAAGACATACTTTGGTGTGATCCTACAACAGAAATTGTCATAGCTACGTTGCGTGCTCAAACACTAACCGAAACGGACTCTAATCTCGAAACTTAAGGTCTTTTTTGAAATGGAAATAGGTTGTCCTTTCGAGCGCATTTTTCGTAGTTTTTATTTTCATCTGTCAACCGAATAACTGTTTGATTTTCATGAGTTTGGATGCTCTGTAATTTAGGTCGCCATCCGCAGTCTATGTACATTTGTGTGCAGTTTAAAGTGTGGTGGAAACAAGAGCAGGATATAATTAAATTTATTTGCGCTGTTTGTGCAGCAGACGTTTAAACATGTTCGCCGGACGAGCGGTCGGAGTCACAGCTTTTTATTGCTTCATGTGGCAAATTGTTCTGTTTGTAACTTGTGTACTTTAACACAAACACTTTTTGTTTTTATCCTGGGTACTAGGTGTTTATGTTGTGCATGAGACGATAATAATGTTCTTGAATGATTTATTACTTACAATTTCTTCAATTATTCTTCTTGGTTACTTTAGTTACCTACTTCATCTAAATACACCTTCGTTTAAAGTTATCTTCGTTTTTAGTATGGAGCTAGTGAAAACTATGTTTGCAGAAAAAAACTACGTCGCATTATAGCATCTCGATTCCAAATAGACATATTAAAATTATTATCTTTTTTAACACGTTTGAAGCCACTCGGCTAACTGGAGAATTTAACAATCGATACTATTATCCATGTACGGTTGGCCTAAGACTTACTTTCTTCTCCATCCTCTTGAGGTGCCTGTTGTTTTTCCACCACGAGACGTCGGCCTCGGGCCGGGAGCCGGTCGTCTTGCACTCGATCTCGTACCGCTTGTCGGCGGATATCTGCTTCTCTTTTGTTAGTATCGTCACCGATATTGGTTTTACTGGAAGAGGAGAAGCGTTTTAGTACATGTTTTAGGTGTAAAACGGTACCTATGTACCTAATATTATAGTGTCCGATGAGCTACAAAAGAAAAGTAAATTAGGTTTCAGTAATTAAAAATGAAACATCAACATTGTCATTCTTTCAGCTTGCAATATTGTAAAAAAAGTTTTTTTGTTCGTCATTTCTCAGCTTCTCGTGCTGACTAATTATTCAATTGCCCGCAAGAAAATTAAAAAGACACTTAGATTTTTATTAAGTAGATAATTATTTTTTTCAGTCAGCGTCAAGTGGAATAAGGTGGTGTTGACAACTTTTTCATTCCATTTTGGGTGTCATGAGCTATTTGACGCTGACTCTACCATATTTTCAAAAAAAGTAACTCATCTGTTTTCTTAAATTCATTGACAATTCAATCAATAACTAATTAACAACGAAAAAACTCACAGTTAATATCTAAAATCAGGACTTTCGTCTCCGGCGGCGCGAGGTTGGTGTTCGACGCCTGGCACACCAGTCTCGCGTTCAGATGTTGTCGCCCAATGTTGGGAAACGTCAGCGTGTTGACTGTCACCCCGTCGGGCCGCTGCTCGAACGAGTCGTCGATCATCTCGTTCTCGAGGTACCACGTCACCCGCGGCCGTGGTCGACCTGGAAAGAAGTTGATTGTAGAATACAACCCCTCTAGATGGTCATCATCATCATCTCAGCCCTAGGACGACAACTGCTGAACATAGGCCTCCCCCAATGCTTTCCATGTTACCCGGTTGGGAGCGGCCTACGTCCAGCGCTTTCCTGCTACCTTTATGATGTCGTCGGTCCACCTTGTGGGTACACTCTAGATGGTACACCTCTGGAACTCACAGGGAAACTCAACAACCGTTTGCCCCCTAGAATCAGTCAGGTAGACAAAATTATCTATTCACTTCTGGTAAATTAGACAGGGACGTTCTCGAGGTACCACAAAAAAAGGAAATTGTTGAGTGCAGTCTTTAGAATTTATATACACTTCCGAAACTGTATCATTTTACCGCGATCCATAGTATGCTAGCATGGTTTCATCAATACTTGGTAGGTAGTGATGGGACAAAATAATGATATTTTTAAAACAAAACACGTCCTCCACCCAATTAGATTGCGTGATTCCATAATAGAACATGTGAATAAAACCATCGATAGTTACAAAACTACATAAATAGACACTCATAGTGTTTGAAGCACCAAAGCTTTTATTTCAATACAATATCCTTCGTTGACAACAATGAAATTTCTAATTCCGAGAACAATTATAACGTTATTTTCTATAATTGGAATCACAACGCGACGCGTGGGTGTTTAATGACAGGAATTGTCGACCATCGAAGTGTCAATGGCCATTGGCCAGTTGAAATTATGATGTAGCGTTGAAAAGAAAACTATTAACATGTCACGAACAATGCGAGTACATTGTTTCACATTCTGGTGGTTCACATTATTTATTTATCGTCATCATCATCATTTCAGCCATAGGACGTCCACTGCTGAATATAGGCCTACCCCAATAATGGTGCCGTGTGAGGACGGCCGTAAAGAATACAATTCCCCACCGCCAACAGGAGGCGTGTCATAAGAAGTGACTAATTCCTGTAGCACGAGATGGGCAGCAGCGTCTGCGTGCGAAATCAATAAAAAACTGCGCTCGCCAACCCGCTTGCGATGCGTGGCGAGTATTGGTAATCTCCCTCTACTTATTTATATGGCGTTCATATTAAAAATAGTCGCATCGAAAAAATTGTGAACAGAACGTAAAGCCGCGTATTCACTAAAGGCAGTTTCGGGCCGACTGCCTCGTTCCGAGCGACAAAATGTGGCTCGCGGTCCGTGGCGGCGAAATTTCGTGCCTCAGGTTGACGCAGCATCTCCATTTGAGCAGCCTCGACCCGAGGCTACCTCTAGTGGAGATCCGGCTTAATAAACGTTCTCCTGTCACACTATAACACCTTATTGCATTAACATCTTCGCTACCCTCTCAAGTTCTTGAAAATTCAGAGTGATTGATGCAAGTTTAATTATAGTAGCTCACCTCCCTCAACTTCGCAAATTAAATGCACGTTTGAGCCCTCGTTGTATGGCTCCACGAGATTTGCCTTATCTTTCTTCTTGGCGTCGTATATCTTTGGACGATTTGGTGGGACTGCAAGGAAAGTACATTTGTTAGATTTCACATCTGGGAAGACTGCACTGCGCTCAGTTGTATTCAGATTTGGCATCTAAGTTAAATCTATATTTCATATTTAAATACATAAATTGACGCATCTTCTACTTGAATTGGGGTAACCTGTAATGTTCGAGGTATGATTGTTAAGGAAATAAATAAATCAGTATAGTATCTACATTAATAATTGATCTAATAAAGGATGTAGCTAGGCGTCGTTAAATTGTAGGGAAAGATTTTCGAGCATACGGCAAATCTATTTCACGAAATTTAACTATCTCAAGATGAGCGAACAAATCACAAAAAGTTTCCTTTGGTATTTGGCATTTGGCACTTACTTATAACACTAAAGTTGACCTTCAAGTTCCTCGTCGGCGAGTTCTTGAAGTCCACCCTACACCTGTAGACGCCGGCGTCCACCGCTTGCACGTCGTCTACCATCAGCACCGCTGGCGTCGCTCCCCCCCTGAAGAAGGCCCGATTGCCGAAGCCGGTGGGGGAGGACCACAGCTTCGGCTGGGTCATTGACCGGCCTCGGATGTCGTAACTGCGAAAAGATGCGGTTAGTTAGATGGGTGCTGGAATTGATGGATTGATTGATGACGTAACAATCAAGGTATTAAAAAAGATTGATTGATATTAAGATTTCAAAATCCTCTTATGGTGAATTAGATAGATAGGTATGTCAAATCTTTGTTGACTACTTATTATTTTAGTAAAGCTTAAATCTATACTTAACTGCGTATAAGACACGAAAAATATGAACATTTGAAAGGAGAAAACTTTATTTTAGGTTTTATTTCTGCATGTGTTTGCATGATGCCCAATTTAAAATACTTTTAACCTGAGTAAGTACTATGATACGTTCTTGCAAATCATGAAGGCGAGTGAGCTTTACTAGTGTGTGTACGTACGTGTACATGCACATAACGATATGCGATAGTGTAATGTCTATCAAAACATATGAAAAACGTACAGTTGTGAGTCTCCACACCATGCAAAGCTCACTCGCCTTCGTGAATTGCAATAATTATTCATACTAACGTTTACGTAATTTGAAGCAACCGGTGCATGGGCACGCTATGACACATTTGATTCATGAAATGCACAACAAGGCAGGTATTTGACTACAGTTGCACCTGATTTTAAGTGAAATGCAGTCTAAGGCTGAGTTGCACCACCTAACTTTGACCGTAACTATGACGAAATCCGGTATTTTTTGTATGGAGTTTGACAGGTTTTTGACGTTTGTCAAAGTTAAAGTTAGGTGGTGCAACCCAGCCTAAGAGTATTTCGTTATCATCATCGTAATCGTCAATTCAGCCACAGGATGTCCACTGCTGAACATAGACCTCCCCCAATGATTGCCATATCGCCCGGTTGTTATCTATCTGCATCCAGCGCCTTCCTGCTACCTTTATGAGGTGGTCGGTCCACCTTGTGGGTGGAAGTCACACGCTGTGTTTTCCTCTCCAGAACCTTTTTGCCCCATCGGTCGTCAGTCGGCTGCCTAAGAGTAGGTATTTAGTGTTTGGTGTTCACCTGTACAAGGGCTCGCCATCGGACTCCTTGAACCACAGCACCATTACGACGTCGTCGTCGGAATGCAGGGGCTGGATGTCGCACGGGAGAGACGCCTTCTTGCCCAGCACTCCTTGGACGTCCGATGTTGGTACTGGGGACAAAGAGCGGCTTTTAGAAATACATCATCAAGTTTCATGGGTCTGGGTAAAAAATTACAAGGTTTTTACGGTACTAAGTTCTAGCTCTATTAAACCTGGTGAGGGGCAGCGGACTGTAGTTGTAGGATCAGAATTTAAATACCGGTACCTTATATTCATGTTTATTGGTAGTTCTGCATAGGTTAAGCATAGCACATGGGCACAAGTGGAAATTACCGTAGTCCAGAGTTAAGAAGCAGAGCACGTTGTCACGAACTGATACGATTAGAGTCCGAGGTGTACCTGGCAAGCAATATGTATGGCCACAAGAACGAGTTTAGACTATAGTGTTGGGAACCCAATCTGGTGTTGTAAGAGTTAACAAAATCACACAAAGTAATATGGGTGATGGTAGAGCTGCCAACTTATTAACCTTATAAATATTTCACTGTTCTGGATTCTAGCTCTATTAAAGGCTGTGGGAGCTAAGATCAAAAACACTCACAATGTATTTTGTAAACTGCAACACATCAGCAGATGATTTTGAACCATACAAATTAAAGCATAAAGCTAAACATCCACTGGAGAATTTGCCTTTTGGTTGTAGGTGGATCTGCTGGTTAAACCGTCAGAAGTCTATTAATTGGAAAGTTTGAAAAAAAAACTACACATTTTAAGAACTCTTTCCTGTTGAAATCACAATGACCTAAAAAAAGTAATCGATTAGTAAGGTCTAGATTCGGATCACTCACGCCCAAACGTTTTAGCGAGTATCACAGAACCGAGACTCCATTTATTTTATCTTTACACTAAAAATACTGTCCAGTTCACACAAATGGCGCCGGACAAAACCTAGCGTTCAAAGCCAGACAGATCGAGAGCGATATTGATAGAAATACTTAGGAATTGCTTGAGATAATTGAGGAGTGAGCAGTGGGTTTACTTTGTTAACAAAAACTTGCTTTTAAGTAATAGCAAATTTTGATTTGGATTTTCACAACGACCGGTCCTGCGAAGCCTCTATCCAGTCGCGTAGTCGCCTGGTAGGGCAAACAAAGAATGAGACATGTAAGTACTAATTTAATTCTACACAAATAAAGATAATTTTGATTTTTTGCCTCTCGCGACCTTCACCAGATTGTCAGTCCACCTAGTGGGGGGCCTGGTCACTNACTATTATGTATTCTGTGGTAATACTATAACATAGCATAGCTATTGCAATTAATTATTTTAGGGACTACGTGGCTAAGTATTTAAAAGGTAGCCTGTGCTGCGCTTTGGCACAATTTTAATTCTAATCTAGCTGCTACTAGTATAACTGTAGTATTCACCTGTACAAGGGCTCGCCATCGGACTCCTTGAACCACAGCACCATCACGACGTCGTCGTCGGAATGCAGGGGCTGGATGTCGCACGGGAGAGACGCCTTCTTGCCCAGCACTCCTTGGACGTCCGATGTTGGTACTGGGGACAAAGAGCGGCTTTTAGAAATGTATGTCTTTTTATTGTTTTATGGGTCTGGGTTCTAGCTCTTTTAATAAACGACATAGTTAACTTAGAGCACCCGTCCAAAAACACCCGCATGAATAGCACCTGCCCTAATCTACATAGAGCACCTATCGATATCGTTATTCGTGGATTCAAATTTATTTTTACATTTTTGTACGTGAGACAGAAAACAAAATATCGATACTTATGTGATCTATGTAGACTAGGCCAGGTAAGAGTTGATAATATGCGTAGTTTTGATCGTGACCAGAATCACAATGACCTAAAAAAAGTAATCGATTAGTAAGGTCTAGATTCGGATCACTCACGCCCAAACGTTTTAGCGAGTATCACAGAACCGAGACTCCATTTATTTTATCTTTACACTAAAAATACTGTCCAGTTCACACAAATGGCGCCGGACAAAACCTAGCGTTCAAAGCCAGACAGATCGAGAGCGATATTGATAGAAATACTTAGGAAGTGCTTGAGATAATTGAGGAGTGAGCAGTGGGTTTACTTTGTTAACAAAAACTTGCTTTTAAGTAAAAGCCAAGTTTGATTTAGATTTCCATAAAGATAGGCACCGCGCCGCCCGCATTCAGACACCTCCTGCGACCTTTACAAGATCGTCAGTCCACCTAGTGAAGGGCCTGCCCACACTACGTCTTCCGAACTGTCCACACTACGTCTTCCAGCTCGTGTCCAGCATTCGAGAACTTTTCTGCCCCAGCGGCCATCAGTTCTGCGAGCTACTTATGTGCTCCACCCACTGCCACTTAATCTTAGCAAATCTGCAGGCTATGTCGGTCACTTTGGTTCTCTTGCGATTGAATGATCTATGACAAAGTGACTATCTCAACACCTAAGATTTGAGGTGCAACTAACTAAAATATACCTAAAACCAACTGAACCTAACCGAACTGTGGTTCCACTGAACGGCAGTGCGGTCAGCGTTTAACCGAAAAAAGGACATTGAGACCAAATAAAAAATAGGACAAGAGCGACCTAATTGAGGAGAAAGTGGTCCAGTAGAAATTTAATTTAATTTCCCTCCATGCAGGGTTTAAATGCATTTAAAAGCTTAATTGGCGTAGTTATCTTAGTGTTATTAGAATTATAAAATTAGGTAAGTTTTTAAAATAGAAATGCTAAACTATTTTCGCGGTTAGCAGTAAAAAAAATAATGAAGAGAAAGATGATGAATTCATCATCATTACATTAAGATGTTTAAATAACTTCGTAATAATTAGATCTCTACTTATTTAAAAAATCTTTTTTATGTTATAAAAACAGTCTGCATTTTTCTCATAATCATAATTTATCATATCACCAAAAAAGCTCGTAGTACCTACTTTTTAAATTGGTGATATCTAAACATTGGGATTACAAAATGGCCTCGTTAAAGTCGTTTCTATAGAATCGATTATAATTTACATTGTACAATAATACTACGAACCTCCAAACACGATCGTAAAAGAAATCAAGTAGTGTGACCCATTTCGCCCACAGAGGAAATGAGCAGTACGAAAATTGCTTACAGCCAATATTTTCGTTATAGTCACCCGTAGGGACGAGAGAGTATTTGAATTTATATCGATGTGAGAAATATCGATATAGTATTCTTGTGACAATAATTGTTTTTGTAACGGAAAAAGTAAGCACTTTCATGTTGTGATGATAGTGCGTAACGACTAAAAGCAATTATTTCAATTTCATGGTACGTTGGGTAGACTATATCCCGTATGCGGATGTGATATCTCGCCATAAATAATAAGGCTTGGTCATGGGTTCATAATTATTCAAGAACGTAATGATTCAGCTACCTACTTAGAACAATAAATTATCGCTTACTAGCTTTCCGCCCGCGGCTTCGCTCGCGTGGAATTTTGCCTGTCACAGAAAAACTTTATCGCGTGTGTCCCTGTTTCAAAAACCGGGATATAAACTATTCTATGTCCTTTCCCGGGACTCAAACTATCTCCATGCCAAATTTCATCAAAATCGGTTCAGTGGTTTAGGCGTGAAAGCGAGACAGACAGACAGACAGAGTTACTTTCGCATTTATAATATTAGTATAGATAAAATGTGCTATTCAGTTCAACCATGTTAAATAATGATTTTGAAGAAACAGTCATAAATAATACGAAATCCTAATCATCAATCTATCGATACATCATATCTCCAACCCGCGTTACAACTGATTTATCGTAGAACTGGGTCTTATCGGCTTTTTATTTTATAATTTGGGAGGTTTTGTACAATCGAGGTCGGGTCACGCGATAAAAACTTGTAGATGGCACCTAACTGGTACTAGAGAATCTAAAGAAGGTAGGTGGTACTAATATTAGTAACTAGCAGCCACCCGCGACTTCGTACGCGTGGATCCCGTTTAACACCCTTAGGGATTGAATTTTGCAAAATTCCGTCTTAGGGAGCACCTACAATCTAAAAGGAACCCCCATGCAAAATTTGAATTTTGAGACTCCTAACACTTGAAGTTTCTGAGATTTCATGATGAGTGAGTCAGTCAACCTTTCGCTTTTAATACATTCGAAGATTGGGTGAGGATTGGGTTGGGTTGTAAGGCAAGAGTGGCCAAACTTTCTGTCTAATGTTTTCGAACACCCTAAGGCGCCTGACTAAGCATGATGACTAAATGACTAATATAGAGTCAGCTGGGACCATAGGGGGAGGCCTATGTTCAGCAGTGGATGTCCTATGGCTGAAATGATGATGATGATGATGATGATGAGACCATACATTAACAGAAAGGCGCTGTATGCAGGCCATTATGAAAATTATTGGGGGAGGCTTATGTTCAGCCGTGGATATCCTATGGCTGAAATGATGATTAGCTGGGACCAGCTTTTAACGTACAATAAGGGGACATGTTTATTTGTAAAAAAAATGGTTGAAATGGTCACCCAACCATTCCCGACTATTTTAATGGTTGCTTTACATGGGTGATCATCACCACTAAAGGTCGCCATTGAGCTATAAACACCTCCAAATAATAATTTTATTGATTTGATTTATAGTGTTTTTATTGGTTTACTTTTGGGCGGGCTAGTAGAGCGCCTCTGGCAATAATTACTAATAATAATCCATCATCTTGATCATCAAGATGTGTATTCTATTTTGGGACCATTGTAACATATAATTTATTTGTAAATATTATAACAGGTGAAGGTTTTAACACCTTCATTTTGTATGTGGCCTATTAACGCCCGTATTCACAAACGATGTTTAAATAAATAAATAAATAAATCTTTGGACAATTTCACACAGCGCCAGCTAGCCCCAAAGTAAGCAACTTAATGCTTGTGTTATGGGTGCTAGCTTAACGGATATACTACTTATATACTTTTTTTTTTTTTAAATACATAAATATAGTCACACCCAGACCCGTCACAGAAATTAAAATTCATCATTTCAATTTCTGCCCGGCCGGGAATCGAACNACACCCTACTGGTCACATCTTCCGGTCTTCCAGCCCGTGGTCGCCACTCGAGAACTTTACTGCCCCAGCGGCCATATAGTATGTACGAGCTGTGTCCCCCGCCCACTGCCACTTGATTTTAGCAAATCTGCGGGCTACATTGGTTAATTTGGTTCTCCTGCTATTAAATGATCTCTACACCTTAGATTTGAGGTACACCTAACTGAAATATACTTAAAACCAACTGTACCTAACCGAACTGTGGTTCCACGGAACGGCAGTGCGGTCAGCGTTTAACCTAAAAAAGGACATTGAGACCAAATAAAAAATAGGACAAGAGCGACCTAATTGAGGAGAAAGTGGTCCAGTAGAAATTTAATTTAATTCCCTCCATGCAGGGTTTAAATGCATTTAAAAGCTTAATTGGCGTAGTTACCTTAGTGTTATTAGAATTATAAAATTAGGTAAGTTTTTAAAATAGAAATGCTAAACTATTTTCGCGGTTAGCAGTAGAAAAAAAGAATGAAGAGAATGATGATGAATTCGTCATCATTACATTAAGATGTTTAAATAACTTCGTAATAATTAGATCTCTACTTATTTTAAAAAAAACTTTTTTATGTTATAAAAACAGTTTGCATTTTTCTCATAATCATAATTTATCATCACAAAAAAAGCTCGTAGTACCTACTTTTTAAATTGGTGATATCTAAACATTGGGATTACAAAATGGCCTCGTTAAAGTCGTTTCTATAGAATCGATTATATTACATTATACAAATACTTTATAAACGCCAAACGAACCTCCAAACACGATCGTAAAAGAAATCAAGTAGTGTGACCCATTTCGCCCACAGAGGAAATGAGCAGTACGAAAATTGCTTACAGCCAATATTTTCGTTATAGTCACCCGTAGGGACGAGCGAGTATTTGAATTTATATCGATATGAGAAATATCGATATTAGTACTGTCGTGATTAAATTGTTTTAATGACGGAAAAGTTAGTTCTTTCATGTGCCGTTGATAGTGCGTAACAAGCATATGACGAAGAAAAAGCAAGAATTTCAATTTCGTGGTTCGTTGGGTGACGCCCGTATTCACAAACGATGCTTGCTTAAGTGAAGCAGCAAATCTAACGCACAGCGATGATTAGAGATCTAAGATTAGTTCGTGTGTCGCCCTGTGCGTCCACGCGCACTGTGAGACCTCATACGGGCGTCAGTATATTCCGTAAGCGGATGTGGTATCTCGCCATAAATATATTATTATCTACTTATTAGGCTTAGTCATGAGTTCATAATTATTCAAAAACGTAATGATTCAGCTACCTACTTCGAACGAATTATTATTGCTTACAAAATGTGCTATTCTGTTCAACCATGTTTAAAAAAATGATTATACAATTTTGTTAAAATTACCACTCTATTAGTCATAAATAATACGAAATCCTAATCATCAATCTATCGATACATCATATCTCCAACCCGCGTTACAACTGATTTATCGTAGAACTGGATCTTATCGGCTTTTAT